GACCCAGGATGACGAAATCATGAGAGTTTGATCGGGTTTTGTCTTAATTCCCCTACCATCCTCTTTAAGCTTCAAGTGATGAATTTTATAATTTAAAATCACAAGTTTACTGCTATTGCTATTATATGCTCAATTTTCAATTCTTAGTGACTAGCCTTAATCGAAAGTGCTCTCCCATTATCAGAAGGGTAATTAATCACAGGGGCATGCGCCTATGAGAAACCTCGAATCCCAGATTAAAAAGTCCTCGCAAAATGAGGGTGAAATTTTTGGGTAATGTCTTATCTACAATCCAATATGTCTTCCGAAAATTCGACCCTCCAAAGGTCCCTTTCAACAAATTAAAATAAAAATAAATGCAAAGAGAGTTCACAGGGAGGCGACTTGATTTTTCGGAGCCCACTCCTTTTTTTATTCCCTTTCTAGTTCTATTTCCTTTCAAATCTAATTTCTTCCAATTCTAACTACTAATACTTATTATAAATATGTTGTATTCTACCTTAGTGTTCTAGTTTTTCTTCCATATTTCAGATTTTTGTCCAACCTAGACGTCAGGTTGTTTTCCCTTCTAGGGTTGTATTAGATGACGAGCGGTGTTCTGACTGTATCTCGTCCGATGTGGTGACCTTCTCAAAGGGTTCGAGTGACGCTCCGACTGTAGCTGGATATGGCAGGGATACTTATCTTTTACCAACTCCTCTGCAATCTTTCCAACTATCTCCCTCGCTTCCACAGTCCCTGAACAACCCTCCCCTCTGTTGTCCCGTAGTCCACTGTCATTCCCCTTGGTTGCCTCTCGTTGTCTCAACCACCTACTTTGTTGTTTTTGCTGTCCCAGACCCCCGCCTTCGCATCCGCAGCCCGCCAATCCTTCATTTTGTTGCTTTACCCATGTACTGCTATTCGACATCACCACTGAAACCCCACAAGCTCTTCCCTTGTTGTCATATCATTGTCCTGCCATCACATGCTTGCTGCCACCCCCGAAACAACCTCCCACCCAAGACCCCCTCCTTGTTACAATCGCCACCTTTCAACCACCACCCAACCATCCCAATCATTAACTAACACTTCCAAGCCCTTAACAACCACCACCAACACCTTAAATATGCCATAATGTGAGTTTTTGTGCCATATTTGTTATAATTCTCCTTTCAGTTTGTAACCGTTTATTTGCTTTTGAGTAATAATATTTATTTTTCCGGATATGGTTTGGGTTAACTCTGATATCAAGAGGAGTATGGCATAGTATCCCTAGATAGATGACCGTACGGAGGTGGTCAACAGGAGTGTGGAGATGTACCCGCATTGTTTTGTATCAGATACACCGAAGGTTTGGGCAAGGTGGATTACTTGAGCAAGGTATTGGTTATAACCCTTCATACCATACTACAACACAAACCACTCCTTTTCAGGATTTTGTATGGGCAGGGTCCAACTCATCTGATACAACATGGGTGTAACACCACACCGATATCCAATCTAGACCAGTACTTGGAGGAGAGGGGCAAGATATTGACAGAGCTCAAGAGACATCTATTTAGGGCCCAACAGATCATGAAGAGAAAAGCTGATGGACATAGAAGAGATGTACAATTTGAGCCCGGGGGCATGATTTATTTGAATTTAAAAGCTTACATGCAAAAGGCACTGACCAAGAGGTTTGAGAGAATTTTCCAACAATATTATGGATCATATGAGATTGTGGCACGCATAGGGATAATGACATACCTTTTGAGGTTTTCACCATCATCATCATTATATCATGTATCACATTTGAAGTGTGCTATCAGAGACTGCACACCCTCATCTTAACCACCGCTAATGCTGACAGCGAACATGAAGATGATTTTGGAATCTTTGGAGGTAGAAGGGGTGCACCGAGGGGTGATTGGGGGCAAATGAGGTGAAAAAATTTTTGTCAATCTATGAAGAACTTGGGAGCCTTATGAATTGATCCAGAAGTCGTTTTCATCATTTCACCTTAAGGACAAGGTGCTTCTTTGTTAGGGGAGTATTATTATGTTGGTCCCTCTTTGACCAGCCTAGCCCAACCAAATTGGCCGGCTTTGCCTAGAGGGACAAAAACTGCCTGTGAGAATTCTATGGGGCTAGATAAGATTGAATGTGTTTTCGGGCCCATTGAGCCCCTAGTCATGCATGCGAGGAGTGGAATTTAGAGGAATTTTAGGGGGAAAGTTTGAATGTGTTTTCGGAGGTAAGTTTAAATGTGTTTGGGAGTGTTTATTAGAGCTATTCACCCAGGGTTTGTTTTTATGTTTGGATTTCTATAGTTTTATTTGTTCTTTTGTTCCTAGCAGCGTTTGGGTTTGCGGAGAGTCGATCCATCTTTCAAATTGTATATCACTCATTGTATCTTGTTTGTTTGTTTAGAAATTAATCAAATTAGCCATAACTTGGATTTCCCTCATATTTCTTGCAATTGGTTCACTGATTTTGGCTCCGATTCGTATCCGATACAAGAACTATTCATAAGATAGCATGAGTCAAATAGTTTGGAGCCATTTGGGATTGTTTTTCTTTTATATTTTTATGTTTTGTTTTTATTTTGTTTTATTTATATATTGATTTAGAATAAAACATGTTTGGTAGGTTATGACATGTTTAATTTTTTTTTAAATTTTTTAAAACATATGAAAAATGTTTTGTGGTTTTGTAAAAACAAGTTGATTTGTTTTAAAAACTTAAAAATAAAGACACGTGAAAAGTAGATTAAACATACTTTTTAAAATAAAAGGAAAAAAAAAAACAAAAAAGTTCCCAAACGTCCCCACAGTTATTGGCCAAGTCACTTTTTACATAATGACAAATGTTTCCTTAAAAAAGCAGGTATATAAGTGTCCCAGGCAAATAAAGAAAAGGCTAAATATTGTTAAAAGTATTAAGGCCTATTCTAATTGGATATCTGGTGGGGATATGATGATGGCTCAATGGTTGGTATCAAGTTAAATTAGCTCATTTGTATTGGCTTTTGCTGTTGTGTATTTGGTTCACATTAGCCAGAATAATTTCAGTTATATGTTCGAAATAATTTAATTGTAAGTTTTTTTTTTCCAGATCGTACTAAGCTTTTCATGGCTAGAGTTGGCTGATGACATAAATGTTTCCGTAGACTGGGTTTTTGGCTGTTCTTTTGAAAAGGGGCTTGATAAAATCTTAAACCAATGGAGATCTGGGCTTTCTAGGTGGAATAAAACTTATGGCTTCCAATAGTTAACCCTAAAAAGCTACCTTTAAGCACGTAGCTGTAATTGCAAATTATGCTATTGTTGCTAGCACCTGCCCCCCCTCTGGTGCAGGTCTTGCATTTATGACATAGAAGGATGCATATGTAAAATTCTTCGTTAAACCGTTTGACACGGACGTCCCTTTTGCTCCCGCCTCCTCTCCGGTTTCCGTTCCCACTCTTAGTCTAACCCAAGACGTGTGAACTGGTCCAAGAGGGATCGGTTCAAGCTATTCAAGTCCCCACTGATTGGCGGGGTCCCCCTAGGGATCCTATTTACCCTATTTATATTATTATTAGTGTCAATTTTGCTTTGAGAAATATAAATATGTTGTTAATGCCTAGTTTTGGGACATTTGGGTTCGTTTTATGCAATTGAGCTTATTTTTTATTGTTCTTTCTTAATGAAGTGTTGTTTCTTTAGATTATTCTCATGTGGTGTGCTTAGGCCAGATTGGATTGAGTGGTGATCTCACCAAGATGTTTGAAGATCTTTTTGACCACCTGTTTCATAGCCTAACAACAGTTTTCTTTTTCCGGCTTGGAGTCCAGCTGCCGAGAACTACGATTTCTCATTTGTCATCTTCTTATCGCTCTCTTCTCTCGTCGACATTGTCTGGTAACCCTAGATTGGTGTCACCTCGACTTCTAAGGTCATCGTTGAATATTCTCATAGCTATTTTGGCTTTGGTTCAAGAGAGCCAGGTCCCTTTGCTTTAAGTGGGATTCCTGGTGAACAAGTGGTACATTTGCATTTTAAGTGAACGAGGGGTAAATATGCAACCATGCAACTATTGTACAGAAGTGCTCAAGCAAGGAGAGGTCAAGGAGAAGCCATTCAGTTAGTAATTTGCTATTGAGTAAGTTGTTTTGGTTTCAGTGCCGAAAACAAAGCTCAACAGTTAGTAATCTTCTTTTAGGAGGTGGATTACATGAAAAAAATCTCTGTTGTTTACATGAATGATTTGCAATATTTATAATTTCTAAATTACAATTTTTCTGTATCATTTGCTGAAGATTGCCTTTTGATACTCCAATTACCTATTGTAGGATTCATTTGTCCCCTGATTAGAATTAAGGATTCATATTAGAAGTTTGAAGGACACTTGACTATAGTCCATTCAGGAAATAGTTAAATTATGCTCGAAATAAAGTAGCAAATTTAGAATATTTAAACGTGTTCATATGCAATCTTTTTCATACGCATTAATTATGTCAGGGTTTTGGGAATAATGCACTCCATATTTATTAAGGAAAATAATTTCGCTAAAAATATAATGGCATTAAAATTATAAGGAAATACAGTTGAGCAATGAAACCGCTGCATGTTTTAGACAATATTCATCAGGGTTTGAGATTATATAAAGTGGGTTTTGTTTTTACATCACTTACAAGTAAGCTTAAAGCAAGTTTTTGGTGTGATGGATGATTGTCCTACTGAGAAGATAGATATTAATTGGGGGCATTTACATACATACCACCCAATTCTTATGCATTTTCATATTACATGCATACTACTTGTCCCTTTAACATTATATAAAAAATACCACCATCATTATATTTTTAAAAGTGAAATACACATTTTCATGCATGGGTTTGACACTAAGCTGTTATAAATATAAATATCAAACTTTAGGTTTTAGATATGTAAATGCATAAGAATTATGTGGTATGCAGGTAAATTTCCAATATTAGTTTATCTTGGTAGTGAACATGCCTTCTGGTATCTTACACTTGTCCACAATCCCTGCAGTCTATTCTCCCCCCAGACTTGGAAGAATATCAGAGACTTAGATGCAGGGTTGCATTCCACGCCCTTCAGTTTCGTCCAGAAATTCAATCATTGGGAAACCTGATTGTGGAAAGGTACCTTTTCGATCCTTTTGTTTGCCACATCGCTAATAATAAATCGCCCCTTGCTATTGAATTTAGCTTTGACCACTTGAAGGATCCACTCAATTTAATTCCACTTTTAAACATGAGTTGATTTACTGCCACACTCTTATAATGATCGAATATTACTTTAGTAATATATTGTACTACTTGTACTTTCCATCTGAATCATGTCGAGTTTGTTCTTTACAATTTTGATGATGTGGAGACGACCAAATATCATTTTTGTTACTTGTATTATATTGATCTCGAGGCTGAGAAAATTTCTATTTATTTATTAGGCTTAATTTCAACTTGTTTTTCAGATTACGGGCTTCTGGCCGTCCTTATCTTGCATTGCATCCTGGGCTTGCAAGAGATACCTTGGCTTTTCATGGCTGTGCTGAACTTTTCCAGGTTTGTATTACCTATTGATTACTCTTTTTTTCTTCCAATAATCCTTTTTTAAGTCAGTCTGTTGTGTTGTTATTGTGTTCAGATAGGCCTTCCAGAATTTACTAATTTGAATGGATGTTTTTTTTTCTTACAACTGCCTAAAAACAAAATAATGTAAAGTTTCATCAATTCCTTGACATTTTATTAGTTGTTCCTGTCTAGGATGTTCATACTGAACTTATTCAATATCGAAGGAACCAGATGATCAAGCGTGGCATTGTTCACGGAAATTTGAGTGTTGATTCTACATCTCAGAAAAGAAAGGGGTTTTGCCCACTTATGCCTGAAGAGGCGAGTTATGTTCATTCTTTATTTTATTTCATATTTTTTTTTTGCTAGACTTATGTTATCTATGTCCTATAGTGTTTAAATAGCTTGCTTTTAAGCTGTTGCATCTGATAACTATCTTTTGAATAAAACATGGGAAATTTACATCTATACCACATACTTCGTATGTATTGACATATTTTACACTTGTATCACCTTCAAATACTGAACTGTCGGATCAATTTCCGCTTATATTTCAGATTTTGTTGAATGGTAATCAACAATGTCCTTATCACAAAAGTTTAGGAATTGGATTTAAGAATTCTCATTCCTAATTTTTTTTAATATTATCTTTATGATTTGAGGATCAATTGGAATAATTTACATTTTATCACTATTTTTCTCCTGAATGATTGCATTAGTTAAGAGTTCGTTTAAAAATCAACAATTATAAAAAATATGACAAAATATGACTACTTAGGAATTGACATAAATATATGATTAGTTCTGCATTTGACTCTAAGAAATTAACTTGATGGAAATCTGAAAGTGTATACTCGTAGGAAGCACCAAAATCAAACTTTAAAGGGAGCTTCATTGATTTGCATTTTGTTTTCTTTTCAGTCGTGTCATCAAAATATTCCTATGATGATGACCTTATTGAGAATGTGTTGTTCTCAAGTGGTTTAAGTTTCTCTTCATATTTGGTCTGCTATATGTTTTCCCTAACTAATTTCAGTGCATGTTCACTTACCTTTGGATGCACTACCCTCTAGTTTTTTCTTCCCTCTTTGGCACTCAAGCGATATTTGTTGTCTATTATTGTACCATGAATCACGAACGTTTCTTTCCTTACCGAAATGATACCTACAAGAAAATTTCAGGTAAATTTACTTGGTGCGACATATTTTTATGAACAGGTAAGTTATTGGAGCTAGTTGAATCAACAAAATATCTCAACATTTAATTTTATGAGCTGATAATTGTTTAAAACTGTGTGTAGCTCTTTGAGCTCGTTGAACTGGTTTGTGGATAGCTCAGCCTTTGGCTTGATATTCTTGTATGATGACATAGGCAACTATGTATAATATTTTTTTTGTAGTAGTTATTTAATGGAGGCTTAGGCCTTAAGCTCTCCGTATGGATAAATTGATTGGCTCTATTCGTAGGGTCTTTTCTTATTTGGGTTGAATGACAAAAACGAATTATAAGCTTAATATGCTCCAAAACTAGTTCTATATTATTATGTTAAAATCTTCTTCATTGGAAGTGAAAATGGTGAATGTGAAAAGATGGGATGAATGAGCGAATAGAGAGAGAAAAATCAAAGCAACAAATGAGGGAGACAAAGATGAGGGGTTAATTCATTATTATAAGAAGAGATCCCCTTTAGTGAATTAAGCCGAGGAGATTAAGGAGAGGAGGCGGTTGATTCTATGTGAAATCCCTTTTAGTGAATAAAGACTTATATTTCCTGCTACTTCCATTACTGCGTGACTGACGACATTTTAATTTGTCAATATGAACGATCAAATCACTACCATTAAGAAACAACTGGGTGAAATTACTGGCATCCTCTATGAAATTTAACTATGTTTAAATTTGCTTGAAGTTGAACAAATTCAAACCAGCAAAAATGTGGGAACATTCTGAGCGGTATGCTAAAAATAATGGGAAGCACCCCTTTTAAACTTATGCGAATTGTAATTTTGTGTTATGCCTGTGGAAATGCGGAGTTGTGGACGCAAAACAACAACAACAGAGCCTTAATTCTACTACGTGGGGTCGGCTACATGAATCCTTTTTCTCCATTGCATCCTATTTAGTGTCATATTTAATTTTGTTCTAATAAATTAAGATCATTTTTTACACAATAAGCCTAAGTCTTTCTAGGTCTACCTTTGCCTTTCTTAACATAAGTTTAATTTAAAACATCTACTCTCTTAATCGGATCATCAGATGGTCGACGCTTAATGTGACCAAACCATCTAAGACGATTTTCTCTAATTTTGTCCGTCACAGGAGCTACACCTACCCTATCGCGAATATAATCATTTCGCATTTTGTCTCTAAGTATAAAGCCACTCATCCACCTAATCATTCTCATCTCGGCAACACTTAACTTAGTATTATGCTTCTCTTTTAAAGGCCAACATTCAGCGCCATAAAGCATTGCAGGTCTCACCACCGTCTTATAAAATTTTCCTTCCAGTCTAAGCAGTCATTTTCTATCACACAAATGACAACCAATCAACTTGAATTCTACTATTAACATCCCCATCTATTTCACCATCGCTTTGAACAACAGACCCGAGACATCTAAATCGTTCACCTCTTTTAATAATTTGATCACCCAAAGTTACACTTCTGCCACTAGAGCTACTACTACTAAAATTACATTGCTAAAATTACATTCCAGTTCTACTCTAATGAAGGCCTTTTATACTCTAACGTAGGCCTTCAAGTTTTTCCCGAATGTAGACCTCCATAGACCTCCATAATTCAAGTTTTTCCTGGGTTGTTTCTCTCTTCTTATCCATGAGAAAGATATCATTAGCAAAAAGCATACACCAAGGTAAATCCTCCTGTAAATGTCAAGTAAGACCATCCAAGTAAGACCATCCATAAAATGGGCTTAAAGTCAATCCCTGATTTAATCCAACAGAAATAGGAAAATATTTGGTTAATCCTCCTTCAGTTTGAACACAAGTGTCAATCTTGGTCAATCCTCCTTCAGTACGAACAGAAGTAACAACTCTAGTATAGATATCTTTAATGATTTGAATATCAGTCATATCAATACCTTTTTTCTCAAGAACTCTCCAAAGGATGTCTCTTGGAACCTTATGGAAGCTTTTTCTAAATCAATAAAAATCAAATGTAGATTTTCCTTATTATCTCTGAACTTCTCCATCAAACCTCTAAATGTATAGCTTCCATAGTAGACCTACCTGACATAAATCCAAATTGATTATGAGAAATTTTTTGGATAATATTTTGGACGCAAAAATTGAACAATATTTTGGATATCGCAAACTCAAATTACAATAAGTAGACTTCTTTCAGTATGGATAAACTGATGTAGGATTTATATCTTTTGTTGATCAAGACAAAATGTATTTTTTTCTTAGAATACTTTCATTGTTGTTCCACTCAATTGTTTCAGCCCTTTAAGTATTAGGATCTTTGGGGCAAACTTGTAAACCATCGATGTCCAATTCCTTGGCAGCATCTAACTAATTTGCAATCCATCAAAAGCTATAGCATTGGCCTTACTTACCGAGTTACTTGCAAAACTCCAAGCTTCTTTGTAATGACTATATATTTATAGAATATTCATATTTTCATTATATTAAAGCTCATTCTTTAAAATTTAAATAACCTTTGTACCTTCTCACTTTACCGTGGAGTTTTCCATAGTTTATATTTGTTTATTTCCAAAGTCTCATTAAAGTTATATGATAATTCTTCTACTGAAAATATTCATTTTACCTAGCATTAAACTTGGCCCAATTTAAGTTTAGCTTGGCTTTTTTAACGACATATCTATGTTCTAAAAATGGAAGATGTGCCTAAAATTGTCTAACAGTATGCATATTCGGATGCTATTCTTATTTTTTTGGGTGTTTGCTTTACCTCATCGTATGCATCATGCATGCATAAATGTAGTTTAAGCTTTATATCAATGGCATGGTTAGTTTACTTATGCATGGTTGTGTATATAATATTGATTAATTTTGATTTGCATCTTTTTCTTTATTGCTTTTAAGTAATTATATTTTGGCTCTAAAAATATAATCATGCTTGCACTCTTCAGGTTGGAATTCTCCTTCGGGCAATGGGGTATCCTCCAGACACAATAATCTATTTGGCTGGCGCAGAAATGTTTGGTGGCCAAAGGGTTCTAGTCCCTTTACGTGCAATGTACACAAATTTGGTGGATCGAACTTCTTTATGCAGTAAGACAGAGTTATTCAAGTTGTTAGGCCCAGAAGCCCCTCTTCCTTCAAACTTTCCTGTTCCAATTCCACAGAAAACCAAGAAACAGCTTATCGAAGAGTGGAACAAAGCTGGGCCTCGGCCACGACCTCTCCCTCCACCTCCTGCTAGACCTTTTTATCAGTATGAGAAGGAAGGTTGGTATGGTTGGATTGCCGAAAGTGATGTCGAACCAGACCCTTCAGCAACAGATCTGAGATTTCAGGCTCACAGGTTGTTGTGGAATGCTCTTGATTATTATGTTTCTGTGGAGGCTGATGTATTTTTCCCTGGATTTCATAATGATGGGAGTGGTTGGCCTGATTTCTCTAGCCTTGTCATTGGCCATCGGTTGTACCAAATGGCGTCTTCAAGAACTTATCGCCCAGACAGGTAATACTAACTTTTAGGGAAATTTACACATGTAGCACACCATTATTATGTATTTGAATATCTCAATCCTAAACTCTCTTATTTACATGCATATCACTTTGGTGCTTTAAACCCATATTCGAAAAGGTGTATTTCACCTTTAAAAACTAATAGCAGTGCTATTTCTGATGTGATATTAAATATTTGAGTATTGTGAGTAAATATGAAAGTTTAGGTGTGAAATATATAATTACATGAGAATTGAGTGTAAATGCCCCTAACTTTTAATGTTAGTTATTTTATTCAAATGATATGTTATGTAGAAAATATGAAGACGGGATAGTTTGAGTTTTGATAATCAAATGAAATTACTGGTTTTGCAATGAAAATGATGGACAATTTATTGGATAGCAAACTACAAATGAAGCATGCAAAATTCATAGGAAAGCAAACTATTAGCATAAATCATTATTTATAATGATGAAAAATATGGACAGAAGGAAGTCAAGTTGGTATGAATGATCATCAATCTCTTACAATTAACTAAAAATTAGGTCTCAACATTTGAGAACAAAATTAGTGCAATGATTAGGAATTCCTGTATAGATTTAAAAGCCAATTTTATAGCGTATCTTAAATAGTCCAATCTTACAAACCAACCAACAATTAAATAAAGAAGCGAGAAATTTGAGCAATGAGAATGATAAAAATGAATTTAAAGAATCAATGGCATGATTTCAATAGCTTTCATCAAACATAGCACTTGGATCAAGGAGAGGACTTCACGTCAATTTTTTTTTTCAATAATCAATAACATAGTAATTTTGGTATTCTTTCCTTGCAAAGAAAATAACAAAATAAGTTATAATAGCCACAAATTATGTAAATTTTTTTATGCAGTTTAGTAGACCTGGTCATACGAAACATTTGCTTTGAATGTTCATTAGGACAGCTAATATCCTATCTTATTATCATAATATAAGATAAAAAGAGTCATACCAAATGCATGAAGCTCTCATCTAAATAGGCTTTTGGAGGCTACTGAAATATATGCAATTTATCTGTATATCTTATTGTAGAGACATCACTAGTTATGTTTTGTCTACCCATTTCTTCATGTTGCTAGGGGTTGAGACTTGAAACTCGAGCCCACAGATGATATTTATTTGCGTATCATACAACCAAACTTTTATGAAGATATAATTGACTGGTACTCCTTATAATGATATTGAACATATTATATGTTTAGTTAATAATAAGCTTAATGTTAGATACTTAATGAAAATAGCTAAAGACAAGTATCAAGTGGTAGTAGGCCAAAATTTCAACAAATTTCTTGTGCACATTTGGTGTAAATTGATTTGCGAATAGTTGAATTTTCTAGCGGCTTGAATTTTTGTATGAGAATAGGATGATTCTAGTTCAAATAATATAACAAAAGTACTTCATTAGCATCTGCGTCAAACAAAGTCCAACTCAAATACAAATCTATGCACGAAAGAGAGTAACTAGTAGTTCAAATTTCGTGTGAAGAAGCTAAAAATCATATAAAACGGAACGTGAGAATTACAAAATTTTCAACTCTCGATGATACGTACAAGTTATCAACTGAGGAAGGAAATAGTAATATATATAAATAAACTAAGCTAAGAGATCATTGTTTTTTTGGGAAATTACATGCCTAGCACACAATTCTTGTATATTTTCATATCTTGCACTTAAACTTTTATATTTACTTACATAACTCTTTGGTGCTTTAAACTTATGCATGAAAATATGTGTTTCACTTCTTAAAAGTGCAGATAGTAGTATTTTTAAGGTGATCTTAAAAATTTGAGTGTAATGTGTATAATTACAAAAATTTAGGTGTGAGATACGCAAATACATAAGAATTATGTGCTATGTATGTACATGCCCCATGTTTTTTTTAATGAATGGAATAAGTATATTATGGATTACAACAACAACAACAACAACAACAAAGCCTTACCACTACGTGGGGTCGGCTATATTATGGATTAATTGAAAAAATTGAGGTAGGGGTTAGTTTTGAAGAAATGCATAAAAATATAGGTTTTAATCTATATGGTGTACTTGCCGATGTTTGCAGTGGTCAATAATATTAGAATGGTGGGATGCTATGTATATAAGCTTAATGTCAAAATATTTGGAAGAAAAAGTGGTTGATGAAAGCTTATCTTTGATGATAGAAGTTATGCAAAATAATAATAAACAAAAACTTTCTTCAGTACATGCAGCTCTCATCAACATGGAATGAAGGATAGAGATATTGTAAGATGATTTTTGCAAAATACTTATGTAATAGCTGAGCTTGTTAAATGAAGAATGATGATTTATAAAATAGACCTTGAGTGCTTTGGATAAACTTAATGACAATGATGATGGCATTGATCCTATAATATTTTACTTTACCAAGAGTTATAATTTAGCTAACCTAATATTATACTTTGTATAAAACTTGCAACTCAACATTAGTTATCCATGTTGTCTAAGCAGGCTGTGAATCACCATCCTTATTCTCTATTTCTCTTAAACAGACTACACGATTTTTTATAGTAGGATAGAAAGCGGGATAGCAAATGGAGGAGAAAAACAAGCCCAATGAGTGAAAAAAAGTATTTATTTAATTTTTAACGGGTTGAAATATTTTACATTCACCTTAAACCTACAATATGGTATATTCTATTGCACTTTATGGCTGTCATTTTACTCTTAACATGTTTTATGAGCTGAATTTCATACCCCTTATAACCAAATTGTAGATTCAAGTCTCAACTTACAAAAACATCCAAAAATAAAGCGACCATTTTTTTTTATTCTTTATAATATCTATTTTCATCCCCATTTGCACTCCTAATTGCATTTTTTTTTTTTTTTTGAATATGTTTATGAATATGTTTAATGCACATTACATTCTATACATTGCTTCCCTCATATAAATCCTTGCAATCTATAGCAACTTTGAGACAGTTCTCAGTATGTTCAGCATATTTTTACTCTTTCTACCATTCATTATTCTCTTTACTATATATATTCAGTTTTAGGAATAAATATGCATGATTCCTTTAAATTTTTGTTGAGCTTATTTTGGAAGTAAATATGTTGAGAAATCTTTTTTTCCTTTTTTAATGATCTGACATTGATAGATTACCCCTATCACAGAAAAACACTCTTCATGCTTCTAGATTCAATCCGCGACATCCTTTATTATCCTAAGCATAATTGGACAGTCTTGGTTCGCGAAAATCTCAACAACAGTTTAGGCATCAATGGTTTAATAATGGAGTCACGGTTGTCAAAACCAAGATCATTTCTTTCCCATCCTTTACCAGAATGCTCCTGCAGAGCATCAAAAACTCCTGAAGTTCAAAAACTTGTGAAGGGACCCAATGATGAAATCCTGTTTGGTGGTGAAGAAAAATGCCCCGAATGGATGATTCGAGGTCTTGATTTCGTTCTTTCGGAATCCGGCGATCTAAAAGATGAAGGCGATGAGTTTCCTGAAGAAGAGTTGGATTTGGAGAACCGGCAGGATGCCGGCGATGGAAGCAGAAGCGAAGCCACCAGACCCGTTGAGCAGGATGAAGAAATGGATCCAGATGATTAGAGACCCCAAACAATAACAATATTCAAACATGTTTTTTCAAGCGGTTTCCGTGCCATTGGTCGTTATTTGTGGAGACCCATGGTTCTTCGTCCAGTGCTCGTGGACGACAAGGCCTGCCATAATTCTTCCTACACGGTCAACGACTGAAAGGAGTTTCATAATTTTTTGGCTTTTCATACCAAAGCTGGTGTGATCTGTAAATTTGTGATTCCATACTTGAGGATTAGGTGTTCTTTCTAGCTCTTTCTGACCATTTCCCAATAGGCAATTTTGGGCTTAGAGAATTGATTGTCCGGTTGCTGATATATGATATATTGTGTACCATTTTGAGAAACTGCTACTTTTTAGGGTTTCTATATTTTTTTATTTCTAATGCATAGTAATGACTAAAATGCAGCTTTCACATGTATCAGTGTGACACAAATTAACAGCTCATTTTAAGCTTCTAAGTTCAAAAAATATCACTAATAAACTATTTTTAGGGGGATTTAGATACAGACCAGTTATTTATTTATTTATTTAGTAAAATTTGCATACCATCTAATTCCTATTTATTTACATTGTCCAACATCAAAAATTTAATTTTTACATATATGCTACATTGCCTCCAAGTGTAATTTTTGATGTGGATTGAAAATTTTGGGTGATGTAAATGTTGATGTAAAGAGGTGTTAGATATGTAAATACATAGGAATTGAGCGGTATGTATGCAAATGCCCTTTTTTAAGCATGTTGCATAATTTCATATATTTCCATATCTAATATGTAAAGTTTGATATTTATGTATAGTTTTTAAATCTTTAATATCACATTCCATTGAATGATATCTAGAAGATTATGGCTTTTTTTTAATAATAAGATCTAAATAGACTTGAAGCTTATTATACTTGCGCTAATTAAAAATATATATATATATATAAAAACTTTACTACATCTAATATTGCAATTTTATTCCGCTTGCTATGAAATATTTTTCATAAATTTAATTATAATGGATATTAATGCAATTTTATTTATATTAAAAAAAAACTGCTTGTTAAATTACACTTCAAAATAATTCATAAGATTTCAATTCATTTTCATGATATTTTCTACCCAAATTTTCTATTATATATGTTTAAAACAGTGCTAACTGTTTTAGCATTATATAAATGAGACTTAATTTCCATATATTTACATATCTAACACAATTTAATTTACATACATATATACCTCTTTATGCATAAAAAGATGATTCATTTTTCAAAGCTGAAATAATAATGATATTTTCCATGTGATATGAAAGATTAGAGTGATATAAATGTAAAAAAGATAAAATTTAAATGCTTTATATGTAAATACATAGGAATTAGCTGGTATGTAACAAAATGCCTCCAATCAACCAGTCGCATTCTGAACAAATGATCATTTAAGTACACCTGCAATGAAATAACTACGCACTTAAAAACCAACTTGTCAGCTCCCATCATGCAGTTAAAAGTTGATTATCTGAGAGCTTTACATACTGTATATATATATATATATATATATGTCCATGGCCATATAGCAACATCATCACAAATTATTACATACAAAGTATTTATATGTATTGCATGCAAATCATTGTTATCAGAACTTGCAAATGGCGTCCAGTCTTCTTTATGATACAGATGAAGATCCAGCGCTATATCGTCTTCAAGGAAATGATAAATTTCTGCATAAATAGCAAATGTTAGAACATTAGAAACATAATCCATGGGAGTATTTTCAAAATTTCCATATTCTTATTTCAGGATTTGTAGCTACCACCGAACTTTTTTTGATAATTTTGTGGATTGTGTTCTTGCTTTCTATTTTCTTTTTCTCTACGTACAAACGCACAAACCCCGCATATGGAAGGACTTGAACCCATGACTAGTTGATTGAAACACAAAACTCACGACTGCTAGAATAAGCTAGCTTGCATCTAAGGCATGGGCTGTTAAAGAGCTACTTTCGAGCTGAGCTGGGACCGACTCAAATAGATTTAGTGTGGCTTGAAATCGGCTCCTAGCTCGTTATATTCAATTTCGAGCTGGTCTAATTTTGACCCGAGTCGGCTTAAAATTGAATCGAGCTCGATTCGGCTTGAAATCAAAACGAACTGACTTAAATTGAATTATTTGGATCCATTTCAGCTTGGAATCAGCTCGATTCGGCTCAAAATTGAAACTAACTAGCTCAAATTGGTTATTTGGATCGGTCCAACTTGAAACCAAGTCAAAATTGGCTTATGACTCATTATAGTCAATTTTACTTAGTACTATATATATATATATA